AATCTTTAAATATTATGATTAATGACAAAGAACAATATAAATATAAGTTAAATTTTCTATGTCAAACATTTTTTTTCATGAACGATAATATTTCTAATATAGAACTACCAAAAAAATATTATTATACAAGGTCAAGCAAAATTTTAACTAATGCACAAACTTTATCACCAAAATCTGTTAAACAATCTAACAACCTTTAACTATACCAGTTCGCCCAGTAATAGCTTGGCTAATAACTGCACCAGTTTATCTGGTAACGGCGATAACACATTCTCAAGTTCATCTAACTGTATTAGAATATCCTACAGCACTTTAAACAACTACTCCAGTTCGCTTAACCTCAACAACCACTTCAATTCACCTAGTAACAGCTCAGCCAATAACTGTGCTGATTCACCTGGTAACTGTGACAATACCTACAGTACTTAAAACAACTACTCTAACACATTAATCTGACATTGAGAAATTTTTTGGATAACAGATCTACTCAAGTCTACAATTTTATAGTATATGTGCAATTCTTTTGGAAATTTTTGCAGCGATCAGTAAAATGCAGATCGCTGCTAGTTTTTAAAACCTTTTTGATAAAAATCTGCAAAAATGGAGATTGTTATCATTTTTTCAATTTTTCGAAAACCTAATCTGTAATAATCTGTAAAATGCATAATCTTTAAAAAAAGGCCTTCAGGGTTTCTTAATAACTCAGTCCTTTGAGTGAAGTTTATTTTTTTTTTGAACTAAACTTTTAACTTTAAATAATAACTTAATTTTTTTTTCATGAAGTTTATTTTTTTTTTTTGAAACTAACCTTAACTTTATTTTTTAAAAAAGAACTTCATTTTTTTATTTTTTTTTTTTTCATGAAGTTTTATTAACTTCGCTATACAGGATTATTTTTTCTTAGAATTCATTAAAATATGTATTTATTTAATAAAAAACGATTTTTCTTATTAAATCTTGACACGATATGAACCTCTTAGTTTATAGAACCAATCGGGATTGCATTGTATTCTTTAGTGTAGTATAGCTGTGAATAGCTATAAAGTTCAGATTCTGTTTAGTAAATATCATACCATTGAATAAGAGTCAGTTCATATAGCTCCTTTGTGAATAACCTCCGAAAGAATTTAAATAACAATAAAACCTTCAAAAGAAATTCTTTTAAAGAAACCTACTATAAAAAAAATGAAAGAGAAATTTGATATCTTTAGAGTCTCACTTACTTTTCATACCAAGCACCATCATCTGAACTATATTGTTCTTGATCCTCCGCTGGAGTTACCGCTACATTGCTGAACCATTCTTTTTCTTGGAACCTTCCAGAAGTTTTCAAAATCTCACCACTTTTTAAATAAACTGATTCATAAATTTTAATACAAAAGTCTTCACTTTCCGAATCTTGCAAAGACGTATCTAAAAAAATATCTAGTGTTGAAATTGTTTAAGATAATCCTTCGATAATATTTGCATGTGAAGAATTTTCTAATTCTTTAAAATGTTTTATTTTTTGATCAATGGCATCCAGTCATAACTCTAAAAAGATTTTTCTGAATCCTTCGATTTTACGTCAATTAACTTTACTAATCTTTAGGGTTAATTCATTATGCTTTGCCTACAAAATGTAAGTATTAGATTGTTGAATCTATCATGTTTCTAATTATTTAGAAAAAAAAAATATTTCTTTTATATTTGTTCAGATTTTAACTAACAGCATTTATTAGTTGCCGCATCACATCTTTTCTGTTTGATAATCGGTAAGGAGTTTTAATGTAATATTTGTGAAGAGTCTCATATGTTTCTATTGATAGCCCGTTTAATGCTCTGTATTTACAAATCGCAGAAACTGACAGAACACACTATCGAAATTAGTCACAAAACTATAATTTCTTTTAATAATTATCTGAAGATTCAGTTACCTGCATGATACCGCCAGCTGTGCAATTTAGGAAAACTGCATTTCATTGATGATAATGAAGCGAATATTCTCTTAAAGTTAGTATTCCAACTAATGATTAATTTCTGTTGACGGATTTTGTTAATATATATGCTATATATATTTCAACCAAATATAGTTAACTAAATACAATTATCTCAAATTTTTTTAAAAATAATAGTGGTACTTAATGGAAATTTCCAAAAGGCGTTTTTGATAGAATGTATAGAAAAGTCCTTTCCTTGATCATCTCGTACTATTTCCTGCATACATATTTTCGTGAGTTCTGAGAGGTATGTTCTCTAATGTGATGTTCATATTATTTAGATCACTTTGTAAGATTATGCAAGTATGACATAGTATTTTACATTGGGCTGATTTATACATTGCTGTTATTTTGTCAGCTTTGAGCATATCTGAAAGAAAAAATGATATGTGCGCAGCAAATCACATAGGTTATCCTTTGACTCCAAAATATAGCATATCAGGCTTTTCTAATAGAGATTGAAGCATAGTATCAAAACACTTGTGAAATACCTTACGTTGTAAATTTCTAAATGATTCAGTAGTTTTGATTCCTAAATCCTGTACTTTAGGCAAAAATCCTAAAAGAACTTTTGCTTCTGGTAAGTTTTGAATCTGATTTGGAAGATTTCCAAGTGTTAAAAATACAGGATGACTCGAAGTCTTTTCAAGTCCATCAAAAATCGTTACATCTGAGTACAAAATGATAGATAAAAGATGATTTAAAAGTGGAAGAGTCTTTTCCGTTTTCAGCCACCAGTCACATTTGAACAGTTCTCTGAATATCCTTTCATTATAATCTTTTTTTAAGATTCCCTTGTGAACAAAATTATCAGATACTTCCGAACATTGTAAGAGGGTCTGAATTATTTGGAAAATTAGATGATAATAGAGGATGAAATCAACTTTGTTATAAGTCGCAATGACTCTTTCTTTAAAATTAATTGAAGGTGATTTTATTTGATTGAGATATTCTTTACCTATTTTCGTTGAATTTGGTAATGGAGATTCTTTCAAGTCGCTATGTTTATTGAAAAACTTTATTATTTTATTACCAATCTTATTGGTAATGTTACCCTCTATCACCAACTCTATAAAATCTCAATACGCTTCATTTGGCCATACTGCTATACATTCTGGCCTATTTTTTCCTTCAATAATGTCTAAGGTATCATCCAGAGATGCACCCTAAAGATCTTATTTACAAGTCTATTTCCATATCTTTGATATTTTCTTCAATGATATCTTCAGTTTCTGATTCTACGTAACTTCACAAATTATATTGTGGCTCGTTTTGAAGGTTTTCATCTATGATTATATCTGTTATATTAACTTGCGATGAAGGATTTTCCATGAGGGTGAATAAAGCTGACTCTAGTGTCATTGTGATCAGCATACTCCACAAGTTCGAGTCATGTTCCAGACTTTGTATTGACTGCTGCGATTGTGATCTTTGGGAAAGCGACATTTTACTATGATGCATAGTGTTAGCATGTCATATTAATCCGCTAGAAGTTGAAAATATTCTCTTGCAAATTCTACAACGAAATTCATCCATTATTAGTTTTTGTTTCTAAAAATTAACGTATGAAACACAATTGAATATAAAGTAACGATTTATTGAGGAATTGGTTATGGTTTATGTGATTTTATTTTTTCAATTTTTATATAACTAATTTAGTAATTAAATTCAATGATGGCTTTTTAGCTTTTAATTATATCATCAATTATGTAATTGATTAATATTTTCTTGACTTTTAAGCATTTTACTTGATGATTGTTTTCTTTGACTTCATTAATCAGGTAATTGATTTAATTTTTAGTTAAATATATCAGTTGCGGCTTAATGATCATTGCGTAATATTTTAATACTCCAAGCATCACATTATTTATTATTTTTTTTAATAAAAATATGAAATTCTCTAACTTTTGACTTTTTAATTTTTTGTGAACATTTTTTATCTGATTTTTGTTATTGTTTTTTTTCAGATCCATTTTCTTCGATAACATTAAAAAAAATTAAAGTAATTAAAAAAGGCAAAGTAAATCGAGTTTTTAATCATTCAATCTTCGATATTAAATATTTTTACCTAGTTACACTATTACCTTTTTTTTAATTAATTAATTCTTTCTTTATTTATCTTATAAGAAATGATATTTCCTGAACAAATTTTTATTTTATCCAACATCGCTAAAAATATGAATACTAAAAAACCACGAAAAGTTTTAAACAAATCACGTGCAACTGAAATTTCAGTTAAAACAGCTCAGTTACGAAAGAAGGTAATGAACAAATTTTCACAAATGCTATCCTATGCTAGTAAGTAATCAAAAAAAATATTTAACATTATAGAATTTTTTATATACATACCGACATATATATTTATAATAATATTTTGATTTTTTTTAAAATTTTAAAAAGAATCAACAACAGCTAGATCATCAACCGATAATGTAAAAAATGATCAAAGAAACCTGCATGTTGATGTAGCAAATGATCAAGAAAGTCTGTCTATTGATGTAGAAAATGACCAAGTAAACTCGCACAAAAAATTATTTGAGCTAGTAGTACCTTTTGATTTAAAAAAAGATCAAGAAGTTTCGCGTAAAAAATCGCTTTAACTAATGTTTATAGATATAGAAAAGAATCAGAGAACTTTGCGTAGAAAATCATTCGAACTAGCACCTATGGATATAGATAAAGTCAATGATTTTCAGGACAATAATGAATATTATAGAACATTTAATGATAACAATCGACGTGAATCAGTAGTAATCAATGTTGTGATTTCTTCACAGGAACCAGTCTTACAATCTTCTATAATAAAATATGTCCAAAACTTACCTTACAAAAGAAGAATTCAATTATATGATGAATTTAATCGATTCAAAAATTAACGCATTATATAAACTTTGCAAATATATAAGTGAGCGACAAAAAGAGAACACCAAAGCATTAAATAGGCTTGTCATACTTGATAAGCTTTCTGATGATTTTTGGAGTGTAAGTTAACACATCTGGCTATTCTATTTTGACTTCTATTGATATTCTATTATTTTGTAGCGTGTATATAAGGAAGCAGTTAGGAAGCTACTACCCACCATCTTATTCCCTTCAGCTAGCGACACAGGTCAAATGATGAAGAATCGGAATATAAAGTACCAGTTAAGAGTCAGAATTATGTCAGGTTTGATTCTTTACCGGTTCTTACTTTTTTTTATCATTAAATAATCAATATACTGATAGGCCTATAAAATTCGTCCTATAAGATACTGATGACATTTAAAGAATTCCAGGTTTAAATAATTAACAAATTGGTTTTCCGATTACCAATAAA